CGGTAATTATCTAAATACAGACACTCATAATTTCTGATAAATTAACAATGCAATAGAAAAATTGGAAAACTCATAGTAGAACACACTGGTTGCCAAAAAAAGCTTCATGAAAAGGTGCTTCAAATTCAACTAGAAATCCAAGAAATAGAGGCTGGTGCCGGAAAGTTAGTGAGTTCTCACTTAATTGTTCATGGTCGGTTACCAGATTGAACTCCTTTTTTACTACTTTCCCCCTTCTCACTACTGGGCACTTGCTTAGTGTTTAAAAAAAAAGAACAGAGAATATAAAATAGCAACAATAAGGCTGCTATTTAACCCATCCAGTCTGGAAGTTTTACAATCTTAAAACCGTAATATTAGTAGAATATATAAATTGTATATAAATATTATACTAATCTATATAAATATTTATACAATATATAATTAGTTATAGTAAATATTATAATAATTTAGTGGAAATTTATATAATCTAAACCTAATATTAGTAGACAAAAACTATTAGTGGAAATAAAGTACTATAGCCTTTCAAAAAATTATTGGGATGGTATCTATTAAAAATAAAAATACCCCTTCTAGACCGCAATCTCATTCTTGGAGCTGGAACTTATCAGTAAAAATAAAGGACCAAAACATAACAAGACATTAAGATTAGAAGATTATTGTACCACTTTTCATAGTGACAAAGTTCCAGAGATACAAATGAATGCCATTTGTAGGCAAATGACTAACAAACTGTCAATCTTGGAATATTATAATAACTATTAAAAATCCATAAGAACTTTCCTGATAACCTAGACAGATTTCCACAAAGTACTGAGTGTAAAAAGGCAAGCTACAGAAAAGTTATATTATCTCATAATTATAAAAATAAGATGATTTTAAAAGCCTGGATAATATGTATGTATATATGTGTTGTGTGGTGTGGTGTTTATATACATGGTTACCTATAGAATCACATCAAATATGGAGAAAAAGGGCACAAACTAAGCTTAATATGTGATTTAGCAGGAAGACATTGGGTGGGAGAAATGTATACTGACGGAGCAAGAGTAGTATGGAGATTCATAACCCCTGGCAATTCTCACTATTAGTCGTATCATGATTTTTCGGTTCATGGCTATATTCCCCCCATAGACTTCTATTTCCTTCTCCATTTAGATTCCTTCTCAGCTTCCTGATCTAATTATAGGCAAATATACCTTCACTTTAAAAGAGGTCCCGTTACTCTTTCTCTCCGACACATTTTGGAATAATTATATTCCATCTTTATTATCGATAATCATATTCATCAAATCTTAGTAAACTAACTTTGCATTGACTTTCAATCTTTTTTTTTTTCAGGCATATTATGGGGTAAAATTTAAGGTTCAAATAATGCCTTTTCCCCCTCCCCAATATGTCTGAGTTTCCAGTATGACCATCCCAGATGGTACCATCCTCACTCATTATTGTATTGGTATACACCGACCCTCTTCCCCCTCCACTGCCCAATACCTACTTACTGTAGTTCCTATGTGTCACTTAGGTGCTGCTCAGTTCAATACCAGTTTGCTGTGAGTATATGCGGTGTTGTTTTTACATTCTTGGGATACGTTCACTTAGTAGTATGGGTTCAGCTTACCAGGAAATACAAGATGTGCTATATCACCATTTGTTTCTTACGAGGCTGAATTAGTATCCGGATGGTATACTATACACATTTTATTAATCACTTTTGGATTGATGGGTACTTGGGCTGTTTCTACAGCTTGAAATATGAATTGTGTGCTATAAACATCGAGTGAGGTGCTTTTGTAGGAGTTCTTGATATTTTGGGTAGATGCTCTAGTAGTGGGATTGTGGATCAATGTGGATCCACTTGTTCACTTTAAGGTATCTCCATAATTGCTTTCCAAAGAGGTTGAACTACGTTTGAGTTCCACCAGGAATCTCTATCTTCTGCATCCACACAGCATTTATTGTTTTGGGATTTTTGATAAAGCCATTCTCACTGGGAGGTTACAGTAATATCTCATTGTGGGTTTTGATTTGATTTCCCTTGGATGGATTGAGATGTTGAGCACCCCCCTTTTTTCTCATATGTTTGTTGGCATTCTTCTGTTTCTCTGATAAGTTTTGTAAAGTCTTTTGCCACTTTTTTTGATAGGATTTTTGATTTTTCTTGGCTGATTTCGTGATTCTAAGTATGATTCGTAGGTTATCAGGTCCTTATCAGATGCGTAGGATGCAAAAATTTTCTTCCATTTGCAGGCTGTCTGTTTACTTTCATTGTAGTTTGATTTCATGTCCATTATTCTTTTTGTTGCTGCTCGTATTGCTGGGATCTTCTTCATTAATTCTTTGCCTAGGCGACGTTGTCTAGGAAGAGTGTTTCCAACGTTTCCTTAGCATTCTAAATAGTTTCATATTTAGGTTTAAATCTGTTATCCAGGTGAAGTTGATTTTGTGAGAGGGAAGTAGTGGGTCCTGGCTTCAGCCTTCTACAAGTGGCTATCCAGTTTTTCCCAAGCCCATTTATTGAAAAGGGATTTTTCTCCAGTGTCATGTTTTTGGTCTGCTTTGTCAAAGATTAGATGGCTATATGAGGTGTTTTATATCAGTTCTCAGATCTGTTCCACGGTCAATATTCCTATTGTGCTGCCAATACCAGGCTGAATTTAATTACACAGCATTTATAGTATGGATTTGATATCTGGAATTAATACCTCCCATTTTTGTTGCCTAGAATTGCTTTTGATATGTGGGGTCTTCTTTGTTCCAAACGAAGTGTAATTATTTTTTTCTATCATCTGTGTAAAATGCTGATGGATTAATAGGTTGCTGAATTCTGGATCAGTTTGGGTGCATAGACATTTTAGTGATGTTGAGTTGCCAATCCACGAGCTGGTTATGGATTTCCTCTGTTTACATATCCTCTGCTTTTCCTTCCTCATGTTTCATAGTGTCTCCTGTAAGAGGTCATTTACTCTTGGTTAGTATATATCAGGTATTTATTTCTTTGTTGTATTTTGAAGGAATTGAGCCTTTGATTTGGTTTCACATTTGACTTGTTATTGTGTTATTGAATGCTCTGATTTTGGTACTTGATTTGTATCCTGAGACTTACTATTCATTTTCAGTTCTAGGAGTTTCTTGGTTGAATTTTTGGGGTTTTGGCCAATTAATTTCTTTCTATTTATAGTAGAGACAGGATCTTGCTCTTGCTCAGGCTGGTGTCGAACTTCTGAGCTCAAGCAATCCTCCTGCCTCGGTCTCTCAAAGTGCTAGGATTACAGGTGTGAGCCACCGCACCTGGCCAAGACTTTCTATTTCTTTAACCTTCTATTTCATGTTTCAAGTGTGTTTGTAACTGCTCACTGAAACATTTTTGTAACGCTGCCTTAAAATCTTTGTCAGACCATTCTATTATTTATCTGTGTTATCTTGGCATCTGCAGATTGCTTTTTTAAATTCAAGTTCAGATCTTCCTGGTTCTTGATATAATGAATTATTTTCTTACTGAAACCTGGACACTGGGGGTATGTTACAAGACTCTAGATCTTATTTAAATCCTGTGTTTTCTCAAGTGTCCTCCATCACTGCTCCAGCTGGAAAATGGGATGATGCCACCTAATTCCCATCAGTTGGGAGTGAAATTCCAGATTTTCCACATTGCTTCCACTGAAACCAGGGGTATAGATTTGGAGTTGGGAACTCCTTGTTACTGATGAGTGGAGATGGGTGCTCAGGCTCCCCACATGGTCTCTAATGACACTGCATGGGATGGGCTCAACTGATGAGCAGTGGTCAAATTTTTAACCTCCACCAACCTCCTCTGACTCCGCATCAGTGAGGAGGAGAGGGGAGCTTCATTACAGTCTGGCAAGGATGGAAGTGTAGACTCTCTACTTGACTTTTGCTGGAGGGAATAGAGTTAGAGATCACATTTTTGTGTGTGTTATTTGGCTACAGTGGAATGGCTGGTGCCTAAAAGTTTTCTGTCTTGCAAGGGTTGCCCTTTTCCTGGTTCTTTAACTATAAAGAACAGCCTTTTCTTAGGGCTATTTTTGTGTCTGTGCCCATTGGCATTTCTGGGTTGTTGGCTTCTCCAGTATCCACTTTGGGAGACATATATTGCAGAAAAATAACCCATGGAACTTGCCATGAAGCTATTCTTCAGATCCCTAGGTCCCTAAATAGTCTGCCTTCTTTTTACCTTTCAGAGTTTTCTTATGTTTGTTTTATGTATAATGTACAGGATTTTTATCTGTACTTAGTGGGAGGAGTAGGGAAAATTAGGACTACTACATCTTTCTAGGAGCACAAGTTTTTAAAAGTTATTATTCTTATTTTGCAAAATATCCCAGGTTTATAAAAAGGAAGTTGCCTAATAACATTGTTAGTTGAATAATTAACTTAAATGTACAACAAAATCCTTAGGTAGATCCTATCTTTATATAATAATCAAAGATAAATGTCTGGACCCCCACTCTGACCCCATTATTTCAACATATAACAGAATACTGATCACATAGTAAGCTACTAATGATTGATGAATGAATTAGTTAAATCTGTATTTTTGTATGAATATACATTATTCTGCCTGTTCTATTAACTTTTAAAATATATCCCCCTCCCCAAGAACTATACTCTTCCTTGCCTTTGATTATGAACTCTTTATCATACACCTCTTACCTGGACTAGCTCTTATCCTTCCAGAACCAGTTGACATATTTCTTTTCCACATTTCCCTTAACCCCAAATTTATGTTGGATGCCCACTTGTGTGCTCCCATGGAGCTTTGCTTTTCCCTATTAGCACTTACTACTCTGTACTAGAACTGTCTATTTAATATTGTCTTTCCTGCTAGTCTATAAAGGTTCCTGGTGGGGGGGGGGGAGGTTAGATCTAAATGTTCACAGCTGTAGAGTCACCAAACTGTGCCTATCATATTACAGGGGCATAACAAATATTTGTTGAGTGAGTGGATTACTCTTAACTTGATTTCTTTTTGTACCTAGGAATGATCAAGTAGAAGAACTTCAGCTCTCAACATGGTTTAATTTTAAGTAAGAACAAAATAATAATAATATAATTCAATTTGAAGAAAGAGGGTTTTTTTTCATCACCAAATTATAGCTATCCTATGAGATTTCTAGGACTTAGAGTTTTTACTTTGAAGGTTTTTACATATAAACTTAGGGTCTATTTATCAAATATCAGGCAATTAAGGGTTATAATGATGAAGCTGTCCCATTCTATCTGGTTTAACACCCCCAATATTATTAGGGGAAAGAAAAATGTCTTTAGAAGCAATCATTAGTGACTCCTCTTGACTTTGGCATTAACACTCAGGAAAGAACCCCATTTCTTTTAATGGTTATATAATATTTTATTTTATGGTTATATACCAATTTATTTAGCCAATTACTTATTGGCTTTGTATTATTTACTATTTGAGGGCTATTATAAGTAATGCTTCAATAAATATCTTTGTACATATATTTTTATACATCATCCCTAAAGCAGAGCCATAAGTTAAAAGGATATAGATTTTAAATTTTGATTCAGGTTTCTAAACTGCCCTTTAATAATTGTACCATTTATTTTCTAATCTTCAGTGGATAGATGTTAGTAACATTTTATTTATTTACTTAACATTAGTCTAGTAATATGAAACATTTTATTATTGGCAAATTGTTAGTTAAAATATCTGCATTCAATTTTCATTTCTCTAATTATTATTGAATTTGAGCATCTTTTTATATTTTTATTATTCATATGTGTTTCATGTTCTGTGAATTTTTTTCACATTTATATTTTTCAATGGGCTGCATGTACACAGACTTTGATAAATAATAATCCTTGGTTCATGACACATGTCATCGGTTTGTGAAAAAAACTTGTATTATTTATTTGTTTGCTTCCTTGTTTATTTTTAACAACACAAAAATCACAACCTTCAATAACTTCAATGTCTAGCTTTGTGTCCTTTCTAATACCCTCAGCCTTTCCTCACTTGATCTCCTGAAACAGCTACTCTCCTGAATCCTGGTTCATCATCCCCTTGCTTTCTTTTTTTAGATTTAAATTTATATTCTATATATGTATTCCAGGGACAAAGTCCATTTTTAAACTTTAGTTATTTATAACTTTATAAAGAGGATATCAGGTGGCATGGCATCTTCAGGGACTTATTTTTTCCTTAATATTAGATTGCTAAGATTAATCCAGAAATTATATATCACTATAATTCATTTTAATGGCTGCATAACAATTGCCTGTGAAAATATACCACACTTTATTTATTCATTACTCTGTTTACGGGCACTTGAATTGTTTCTAGGTTTTTGCTATTATGAACAGTGCTGCTATAAATATTCTTACACATAGTTCTTTGGGTAGAAGTAGAACCCCTGAGTGGTAAGGTATGTGAATATTCAACCTATGAGATAGTGGCAATATTATTTTTCAAAGTGGATATACCAATTTACATTCCCACAAGCAAAGAAGAATAGATCCTATCGGTGTGTGTGCTAACACTTGGTACTGCCAATAGAACGGACATAAATATCTACCTTTTTGTGGTCTTTTGAATTTCTTTAATCACTAAAACAGTGGAAAATTTCTTCATGTGTTTGTTGGTTACATGTGCTTCCTCTTGAGTAACATGTGTTCATATATTTTGCCCATTTTTGTTGAATTATTTGTATTTGTTGATTTATAGAATATATTCTTGATACTAATCTTTAGTCAGCTATAAATATCATAAATGTCTTCTCTCAGTTATAGATAAAATAGCCCAACATTTATCTCTGATTTCATCTTTATTTACTCCTTTACTCACACTGCTCGAATCACACTGGACTCCTTGATGTTCTTTAGATACAAGAAGCATGCTCTGACCTCAGGGCCTTTGTACCTTTTATTTTTTCTGCATGGATCATTCATCCTCCAAATAGCAGAATGGTTCATTTTTCATTTTCCTCAAGAATCCACTCAAATGGTACTTAAGCAATGAAGCCTTCTCCAACTACCCTGCATAAAATGACAGCCCCCCACTCCCTTTCTCCCTTATCCAGCTCTACTTTTCTCCACTGTACCCATAAACATCTGACATACAATATATATGATTGTTTATTCATTTATTATCTATGTCTCCTTACTAGAATGTGCCTAGAAAAGTACATATAGTGGCTCAATACTTGTAGAATAAATAAATGAATAAAACCTCTTATTCAATTGTAATGACAGCACTTTCATAGCAATGTAATAGTGGTGGTAGCAGGCATTCTTTAATCGGAAGGCTTGTGTTGTATTATTAAGTATCACATAGGCTTTCAGATTAGGATATATATTCAGAGAAGAAATGAAATGACTTCTTCAGTGTATTCAATATCAGTAAAGATCTTCATTGTTGATTCTTATTAAAAAGAAAAAAACTATAAGCTTAAAGTAAGTATGAAAGAATAAATATCTCAGAAAAGGAAAGTGTGAAAAATAAGAGAGTTAAGAGGATTTTGTCTTAACAAATATCAGAACATACTATAACTCTACTGCAATCAAATCAACAAGGAATAGATTGGAGGAATGGTGAATCCGGTATTAGATCACATTAAGTATGAAAGCTGACATATAACAAAAATGGTATTTTAAAAATCAGTGGGAAAAGGATGGATTCTTTAATAAGTTATGACATCACTACTAGCAATACAAGTGGAAAAAAAGTTGGCTCCCATCTTATGCCATACATAAAAATAAATTCCTGGTGGATTTATTTAATTTTAATATTTATTAAATTTCATTTGCTTAATAAAATACATTTATTTTATGTATTCATGGCAACTGTAAAAAATAAAACAATAAAATATTTTCTTAGAAAGTCTAAAAGACAATATGCAAATCTAGGAAAGGAGGAGATCTTAATTAATGTTGAAAACCTAGTAGCTATTTTAAAAGATATATTGACTATATAAAATTTTTAAATGTTTGTTTGATTAAAAAACTCAAAATTTAATAAATTAGAAAACCACCTGGAAAAATATTTGTAATACAAATGACGGTAATTATCTAAATACAGGACACTCATAAATTTCTGATAAAAAATTAACAATGCAATAGAAAAATATGAAACTCATAGTAGAACACACTGAGTTGGCCAAAAAGCTTATGAAAAGGTGCTCAAATTCACTAGAAATCCAAGAAATAGAGGCTGGTCCGAAGGTAGTGAGTTTTCTCACTTAATTGTTCATGGTCGGTTACAGATTGAACTCCTTGTTCTACTACTTTCCCCCCTTCTCACTACTGCACTTGACTAGTGTTTAAAAAAAAAAGAAAGCAGAGAAATATAAAATAATGCAACAATAAGCTGCTATTTATACCCATCAGTCTGGAAGTTTTACAATCTAAAACCTAATATTAGTAGAAATATTATATAATTAGTATATAAATATTATATAATTATATAAATATATTATACAAATATATAATTAGTATATAAATATTATATAATTAGTGGAAATTTATATAATCTAAAACCTAATATTAGTAGAAAAAATATTAGTGGAAATAAAGTACTATAGCCTTTAAAAAAATTATTGGATGGTATCTATTAAAAATAAAAATACCTCTAGACCCAGCAATCTCATTCTTGGAGCTGGAACTATCCAGTAAAAATAACAGGACCAAAACATAAAGACATAAGATTAAGAAGATTATTGTACCACTTTTCATAGTGACAAAAGTTCCAGAGATAAAATGAATGCCCATTTGTAGGCAAATGACTAAACAAACTGTCCACATCTTGGAATATTATATAGCTATTAAAAAATACATAAGAACTATTCCTGATAACCTAGACAGATTTCCACAAAGTAGTACTGAGTGATAAAAGCAAGATACAGAAAAGTGTATATTATCTCATAATTATAAAATAAACATGATTTTAAAAGCCTGGATAATATGTATGTATATATGTGTGTGTGTGTGTGTGTGTATTATATACATGTTACCTATAGAATCACATAAATATGGAGAAAAAGGGCACAAACTAAGCTACTAATAATGGTGATTTAGCCAGGAAGACATGGGGTGGAGAAACTGTATACTGACAGAGCAAGAGTAGATATGGAGATCATACACCCTGGCAATTCTCTACTATTAGTCTATCATGATTCTTTCAGTTCATGGTATATTCCCCCCATAGCACTTCTATTTCCTTCTCCATTTAGATTCCTTCTCAGCTTCCTAGATCTAAATATAGGCAAATATAGCCTTCACTTAAAAGAGGAGTCCCTTACTCTTTCTCTCCAGACACATTTTTGGAATAAATTATATTCCCATCTTATTATCATGAATCATATATCATCAAATCTTAGTAATAACTTCTAGCATTGACATTTCAAATTCTTTTTTTTATTTCAGCATATTATGGGGGTACAAATTTTAAGGTTTCAAATAATGCCCTTTTCCCCCTCCCCAATATGTCTGAGTTTCCAGTATGACCATCCCCCAGATGGTACACATCTCACTCATTATGTATGTATACACCCGACCCTCTTCCCCCTCCCACCTGCCCAATACCCTATTACTGTAGTTCCTATGTGTCCACTTAGGTGCTGCTCAGTTAATACCAGTTTGCTGGTGAGTATATGCGGTGCTTGTTTTTACATTCTTGGGATACTTCACTTAGTAGTATGGGTTCCAGCTCTAACCAGGAAAATACAAGATGTGCTATATCACCATTGTTTCTTAGAGCTGAATAGTACTCCATGGTATACATATACCACATTTTATTAATCCACTTTTGGATTGATGGGTACTTGGGCTGTTTCTACAGCCTTGAAATTATGAATTGTGCTGCTATAAACATTCGAGTGCAGGTGTCTTTTTTGTAGAGTGTCATTGATCTTTTGGGTAGATGCTCAGTAGTGGGATTGCTGGATCAAATGGTGGATCCACTTGTATCACTTTAAGGTATCTCCATATTGCTTTCCAAAGAGGTTGAACTAGTTTGCAGTTCCACCAGGAGAGTTCCTATCTCTCTGCATCCACACCAGCATTTATTGTT